TATATTTGTTGGTTGGTTTTTGTTTTTTGAGACAGGGTCTCACTATGTAGTTGAGACTGACTTGGAACTCACTGTGTAGCCCAGGCTGGTCTCGAAGTCACAGTGATCCTCCTGCCTCAGCCTCCCAAGTGCTGGGATTATAGGGGTGCGCCACCACTCCTGGCTGTGTGGCCTCTGATTTCAATGAAAGGGTGGCATGGTGTCCATTTTAGAACATGTCGGTCAGTCAGCCTGTTGGCAAACACTTCTCATGCAAGTCATTATACTTTGAACTTTGCTCTGGACACGGAGAGACTGTACTCTGATTCTGTGAGCAGTTCAGCATTGTTCTTGCACTTGGCTGGGGGGTGAGGAGTTTGGGGACAAATGAGACAGAAGAAGTTTCTGAAAACTAGAAAGTTTCTATGGAGAAGACATAGGCCACAGAATGTTACTTAAAGGGGTTGCTAGGTATTCTGGTCCTCTCCAGAACTTTGTCTTTGGGACTTCTCCTTTGTCCTCCTTACACATGAAAGAAGCGTTTTGGAAAAATAAACAAGGGAGTCTGGAAAGAATTGTCTGGGAAGGTCTGGAAGGGTGGTCTTTGAGCTGTGGCTAGAGATTTGGATGGTGAGGTCCTGAAGGGACTGAGGTGAGCAGCTGCCTTTTCTCATGTGTGTGACTTCTTCACATAGCAGCCGGACAGGTGTGGGGAGAGGGAGAGGCTTGAGGTGGGAAAGATTGTCCTGAATGCTTCAGGTGGGCCGAAGTCATCGAAACACCTGAAAGAGGGAGGCAGGAGGGCCAGAGTCAGGAGGAGGTGTGACCCGGGGCGCGGAGATAGAGGTGAGAAGATCATGTGCTTCAGGCTTTGATGATGGAGGAAGTGACCAAAACCAAGGGAAGGAAGGGCCTCTAGGAGCCAGAAAAGGCACGGAGCGGGGTTCACTCTTGGCCTTTCAGAAGAGATGATCTTAGCTGGCTCAGAACGGCGAGAGAAGCAATGTGTGTGGCTTGAAGTTACCCGCGGGGTCTTTGTTACAGTAGCTGGAGAATGTGCACGGCACCTCTGGGTCTCCTCGTTCTCAGCAGCAAAGCTGCTTTCTGCTCCCACTCTGGCCTCTCAGCGAGAGGCGAGGTTCCCAGGGAACAGCTGTGGCCCTTTCCCCTCTCTGGACTCTGAGAGCCCTTTGGAGAGCTCGCTCTAGCTTGAGGCCTTTAATGCCCCCACCCCGGTGTGTGTGTGTGTGTGTGTGTGTGTGTGTGTGTGTGTGTGTGTTGGGGCGGGTCCGGCGAGACCGTGACGCTTGCCCCCCCCCCGGTGTGTGTGTGTGTGTGTGTGTGTGTGTGTGTGTGTGTGTGTGGTGGCCCCAGTCCGGACAGCCACCGTGACGCCAGACCCTAAGGCCCCTGACCCCTGACACGGCTCAGACATCGAGTGTGGGAATTTGATTTGTCCAAAGCAGCATCCTGCCTCATCCTGTTTTCCCATCTTAGTTCACGGGGCTCATTCTGGAAGTGCCTAGCAAACACCTTAGAGGTTTTCTTCTCCCTCTCACAGCAGCGTCCATTCTATCAGCAAATAGATACGACTCAAAAATCTCACCAGGGTCCCGTCTCCTCTCCACATCACACTCCCACTCCCTGGCCGCACAATCCAGGCAGAGCCCTCGCACGCGCTCCAGGGTCGTGGCCCTGGGTCCGCCACCCTTCTCCTGTGGAGCCCATGCCTGACCAACTTTTTTTTCTGCCTGTGCCACCGTGTGGCCCCTTGCGTCTCCTCAGACTCTCAAGGGACTTTACATGTGACCTTCCCTCCACACGTCAGACTTTTGTCCGAGTGTTTTTTCACCGACTTGTTTTTTCACCTTCTCAAATCTCTGCTCCCTGTCCCTTCTCCGAGGCCTCCCTAAACTGCCGTGCTTAACATCAGACTCGTTTCCTTGGTCTGCGTAATTTTTCTCAGCATTAAAAGTTGTTGGTAATCTCCTGCAGAATATGGGATGTTCCTGGCCCACTCACAGCAGGTGTGGCCAGATTCTCCTTGCCCTGGTACCAGATTGATGCCCTGCACATTGGAGGCGATCAACAAATGTCTTCTGGGTGAGCACACCTGGGGCTTAGTTGTGCAACCGTTTTATGTGATAATTTTACCTGGCTTTAAGAGCTGAGTGTTTAAAGTGGGCCTGGTTTATCCCTCGGCTTAGGTTGTTTTGCTTCAACATAGTATGCATTTGAGAACTTAAACTTTAACTTCTCATAAAAAAACCATGAGGCCACCGTAGCACAATAAAACAATATAAACTTTATTTGCCCAACTGAAGCCGGGAATATAGCCATAGTCTGCCTCTCTCGCCAAAAGCGTCCCTGGCTTTTTATTGACAGACACAAAATGAATTGTTTACAGAATGGAAATTCAGAAGCATGACTCTGGAAAGGGGAAGGAAGAGAGATTTTTTTTTTATACTGGGGATCGAACTCAGGACCTTGTGCTTGCGAGGCAGCGGTGGAAATCACCGAGCTAAATCCCCCGCCCAGGAAGAGAGATATTGTGTGGAGCAGGATCCATCCAGGAGGCAGAGAGGAGTCATGGGAGAGAGCACTTGACCTTCTGCACCCCGCGTCCTTGGCCAAGGGACACTGGCTTCATGGGGAGCAGGCGGACCCCTCTTGGCTGTGGCCTTCTCGAGGCTAACCTGTGCGTGCCCAAGCACTGTAAAAGGAAGGAGGGAAGGAGAGAAAGAGCAGCTGGATAGTGGCCAGGAGGCCCAGGATGAACGAGGGAGGCCGGCAAAGCTGGAGAACCCAGCTGCCTAGAAGGTGACACCCAGGCCAGAACCAGGCTCTGAACCAGTGCACGGCGCCGGGGACGGGACTTGGCTCGTGCGGCCGCCTCTGCCATTTCCTCGGCAGCAGAACTGTCCTGGTGGAGGAAGTCACCGTGACACATCCTGAGAGGATGGCGGGGGAGACCCCGTCTGCTGGGAGCGCTCACTGCGGATCACTATGGCCAGGCCTCATGCATCTTCTCCTGAGGACGAGGCGGGGCCCTGCGGCGAGCAAGGAACACGCATCTTGTTTGCTTCCTCCAGTGGTTGAGGCAGGGCCCCCTGGGAGCACAAGCGACGAGAGGACACGGTGAAGCGAGGCCTGGCCCGGAAGAGGACGCATCTTCCTCCCCACCCATTGGCCATAAATTCATCAAACATGATGTGGAGCAGGCCCTAGCCGCTCCCCGTTCCAGTTGCTCTCGGCACCTCCTTGTACCTCCCCTGCACCTCCCTTATCTCTACACGATGAATAAAAGCTCTGCAGGTGCCAGCCAGACCGGTTCTTCCATTGGGGAGGCTCCACCTGGCCCGGCCTCAGCCTCCCTCTGTCTGTCTTTGCCTCCCTCTGTTCCCTTCAGATACTCGAGGAGAGGGCTACACTTGCTGAGTTAGAAATGGAGACTTCATCTTTTTTTTGCTTTTGCTTTGCTTTTTGTTGTTTGTGTGCCTGGTTTTGAAGGACAGGGATGGGGAGAGAAGAACAGACGGGGCACAGCCAAGCCTCTACCTGACAACACTGCAGGAGACAAGGGGTGTGCCTGTCTCCGCCAGACTGTGTGCACACACTGCGGCCTTGGGGAGTGGTGTGCACGCGTGCGTGTGTACACGTATATCTCACGCACGTGCAGATTTGTGTAACCAACAGGATACAGAGCAGCCAACCGCAAGAATGCGTCACGCTACCCCTCCAGAGCTACACCCTCCCCCCTCCTCCCCAGCTCCATCCGTGTGGCGCACGAGTTTCAATCCCTTGGAACTGGCAGGAGTCTTGGGAAGGGTGAATACCGAGTGCTACAAAAGGCACTGGGTGTTTCCCAGGACCCACAGGGAGGTGTGAACGCGCCTTAGCTCGATTTTAAGGACGTTTGTGGTACTGTGCCGTAGTAGCCCAGTACTATGCTGATGCTCCTGAACATGATGATGATTTCAAGAATTCCAAGAACTCCGCCTCGAAGTCCACTCGTCCCCGCAGCCAGAGAGTCCTGGAGTGGAGTTTGAGGGGCAAAGCATAGGCAGGTGGGATTCACAGGCGCACTTTTTATCAGATTCCCTGTCCTCCCAGCCCCAGGCCTGCTCAGTACACAGTAGCAGCAATGGCTGAAAGACGCCCAGTTTACGGCTAAATCTGGATTTAGAGCCGAGGTTGCAAAGAGGTTTGCCGTAGTGACCAGGTGGAAGGCTGGGTGGCTGGAGAGGCACGAGTGTCTTTTCCCTGGGGATTGGTGGCTCAGGCCCAGCCAGGTGCAGCCATGGTAAGAACACGCTCACCTTATTTTTCCGGAGAAGCCAGACCTGGCTGTGTACATAGTTCCCCTGATGTTTAAACAGTGGAATTAAAAGAAATGTCCAGTTCTATCAACCAAACAAGATGAATGCACAAGCCAGTTTTTGCACAAGCCAGTTTTGGCCTATGCCAGCTGGTGACCTTTGCCCTGGGCGTTTCTCCACTGACCTTTGTTTTTCTCCCCCTCCCCTCTCTCTCTCTCCCTCTTCCTTCCTTTCATGGTTATAGAGCAAGAAAACACTGAGGTAGGAAACTGGATGGTAATACCTGTAAACGCTTTTTTTTTCCAGCTTTAATTGAGTTTATTGGTACATTTTAGGGATACAATACAGTTACATTCATTGTTGGGATCTTGTACCTCTACATGACAAGTCTTGATTCTCATTTTTTCCCCTTACTCCTGCCCTCCCTAACACTTTTTAAATCTAGTAAGACATTGCTTTTCTCAAGCAAGAGCTCTGGAAATGCTAATCACTGATACTTGTGTAGTGTTGCGAGGCCTAGCAAGGTGATGCTGGTACACGGACTGCCTCACCTTACCTGTCCGTGACATGGGGGCCAAGATAGCTCGTTCAGGTTTGGAGCCTGGGAAGCAGGCAGTGTAACCAGGACTTTGGCCCCGAAAGGACTTCAGATGCCACATTCTGCTGCATTCACGAGCTTGTGTGCTGCCCATCTGCAAGCCGGTGTGCGTCTGGGGAGACCGCTTTTCTCTGCACTTTGGACACTCCTCAGCAGCCCCGGCTGGGGACTCCGCTACCTGTGCCCACCCCAGCCGGGCTGTGAAGCAACTGGCAGCTCGGCCCCACGCTCCCCGGGTTGGGGGCGTCCATCCGAGTGGGCCCGGAGCGGCTGTGGGTGCTATCTTGGTTTGGATTCCCCAGAAGCACAGCTGGGGGCTTGGCCTGGATGGCTTATCTGGAGAGGTTCCAGAAAGAAGACGCAGGGAAGAGGGAGAAGCCAGGCCATGCTCTGTCCTGGACATTCTTCTCCCCGGGGACCTCTGCAGCTTCCAGACTTGCCAGAAGGAGGGCGGGCAGGACGGCCTCACAGGGGAAGGGCGCCGGGGTCTCCTCACTTCCTGACAGCGTGTACATGGGAACGCAAAGGAAACCGTGCTTAGAGGGAGGTGTGGGGCAGTGAGCTCTCTGCCAGGGCCTGGGCAGTCTGAGCTCACCTCCAGCTGTTGCCATGGGGACACCGAGGTCAGGGAAGGAAGGAGGGGGCTCCCGGGACCTTCTCCAACAGTGAGGAAGAGCCGTCTGTGTTGTACCTGAGGGGTACTGCAGCTTCCCGGGAGCTGCTGTGGAATTTGGACTATATGTAGTTTCAGCTGTGCTCAAAACCTGCTGCCCACCTCTTTTTCTTGTTGTTGTTTTGGTACCAAGGATCAAACTCGGGTCCTTGAGCTTGCGAGGCAGGCGGTGGAACCACTGAGCTAAACCCCCGGCTCATCTCGTACCACTTCTCTTACTTTACTATTTCTGCCTTAAACTTACCCGATTGTAGCTGTCTGCCCCACAACACACACGTGTACTCTGTCGTTTTCTGCCTGCCTCTTTCCAGAGCCCCCTTCAGTCTCACTCCCCACACACTCCTGTGTGTGGCTGGGCCCCCTCGGGTTCCCCAGCATCTGCTCCAACCTCTTTCCTGTCCTGGGAGCCCCTGTGAGGTTGGAGAAGAGAGGGAACCGGTGCTGGGCACTGGGCAAGAGACCACAGCGAGGCGCTGCTCCGCTTCAGGTTCCGCGGAAGCCGTGCGGTGTGGAGTGGTGACAGCCTGGGCCACACTTCACCCCCGAAGGCCAGCGGCCCTGGATTCTGTAATGTTATAAACCGTAAAATAGAAAAGGACATTTTCTTACTTATGCACATTAATGTATTGTGCATTTTATGTGCAGCCCAAGACGATTTCTCCACTCGGTGTGGCCCAGACAAAGCCAAAAAGCTGGACACCCGCATTTTAGAAAACTCTTTGCTTTCCTTCGCTTGTCTCCTGGCTCATTGCACCGCCAGGGAGCCTAGGGTGGCACCTTTGACGTCATGTCTCTGCTCCCAAGGGGCAGGCTGCATGGCCCCCCGGGTATGGGGCTGGCATGAGCGCCTCTGAGCAAGACCAGGACTCCACCGAGGGAGGCAAGCACTGTCTGCCCCAGTTATCTAAGGGGCTGCCTGGATGTCCTCACTACCGGGAAGGGCACCAGCCAACCACGCTTCTCCTCCGTCTGCCAGAGTGACTTGGATGTCCTTGTGCCAGACTCTTCTCAGGGCCTTGTGTGTGGCGCCGGGGACCTGCTTAGTGGTCGTTGTCATTTTAAATGGCCTGGGCTGACACAAAAGGAAACTAGCCTTGGGTTTGTTGGCCCTTAAAGTTATCTGAAAGGAGGCCAAGATGTCGACGGCACAATGTCTCTGTGACCCAGATCCTGCTGATACTTCTATGACTCCCTTCCTCCTTCTTTTCCCTCTCCACTGACCCAACCACCTCCCCAGCCTCCCTTGAATTTCACAAACTCCACACGCAAGCTCACTTCCGGTGGAGAAAGTTATTTCCTCCTTCCCTTCAAAGCTGCGCCTTCTCCAGTGGAATCGCCTCCCAGCCGTCCCCCTTCCCCGACAGGAAGTCCATCACACTCCTCCCAAGCTTTGGGGTCTCTTTTGTCTGACATCCTGTTCACAGGATAATGTCCCGGGAGAGTTCTGTCTGTCTAGTTTTCTGCTGACTCACCTTGACCTCTGCCTGGCTTGCCTTGGCCTAGTGATTGGATTTAAGAATCCAGTGTCAAGTGTATTCTGACATTGAGTGTTCCAGGACTTCTGCGGCGCACATGTGGAGAGGGAGAGCCTTGTGCCCTCTGCGGTTAATGTGTACCTGTGCACCTTGGTCCTTCAGTTTACTTTAGTACCATCGGGCTGCTTTCTTCCTAAGAATGTTCTCTGGCTTCTTTCCAGCGATCTGTCAGGACGTTCTAGGCAAGGCTGCCCTTCAGCAATTAGACTGGACTTTAGTTGTTTTTGAAAGATGAATTTAGAGGTAATTTTCTAATTACTAAATAAATGGAGACAAAGGACTTCGGGAACTTTGCTTGGACGCAAAGGAGCCTTCGTTGGGGTGGGAGCAGCTCACTGGGCCTTGGTGATGAACGCAGGGCACTGGCAGCTTGGAAACCCATTAGCTTGCTGCTTCTTTTGCTAATGCAGGGATAGTTGGGCTGCTTGGGAATGGGGTGCAAAGTGGGCCGGCTGCGGAAGTGAAGCTAGCAGAGTTGGTGGAGGGAAGGCGCTTCAAGGAAGCCTGCGTTGTCAGCAGTATCACAACGCTCATCTTTGTTTGGTGGGACACTGCTGAGCCTGATTGTCAGTACAAATGCTGGAGACGTAGTAGCTATCGACACCTATTCTAGAGAATATCTGAAGATCTCATGGGCATTTTTCAGAGGAGCTTTAAGCTGCAAGTGAAAGTTTTTCTGTACGGTTGCTATGTGCAAAAATGTCAAACTCATACCTGGTAATATGTTTAAAAATGGCTTTCATACTTTGCTGCAGTTGTTTGTGTGTCATTTTGCTCTGTTAATTGCTTCTGGTCATGGGGTGATGTCACGGGAGGGCAAATTCGTGAAAGACCTAGAGGTCAGTTTGCTGCTGTTCCTGGGGTTCAGGTCCTGGCTTCTCAGCCTGGAGGTCCAAAATCCCCATTCTTTCGAGTCTCCACGGGGCACTAGCCAGATCGCCTTTCGAGGGAAGTAGATTCCAAATCTATCGCTAGGATGCCGGGTTGCTCATGGCTACGGTGAGGGACAGCCACGAAAGCTTAGGGAGAGCTGTGGCAGGTAGAAAGTGAGACCACTCTAGATGGTCTTGCCCCACTGTGGCCTTAGACAAGCCAGTCCTTTCTGAGCCCGGGTTTCCTCATTTGTGAGCTAGAAATAACGTGTCCTACAATTGGAGTTGTTGGGAAGATTAAAGGAGAACCCAGGAGTAAGTGCTGAATAATTTCTGTGGGGTAGACGAACACAAAGGTTAAGAGCATAAATTTGGAGTCAGCCTGTGGATTCCCATCCCAGCTGCACGAACCACTTCAGATTTCTGTCACTTGGTTTCGTAAAAACTATTTTTACATAAGAAATGTCACTTACCTTGTAGGCTGGTTGGTGCAACCTTGGCAAGAGCTGCCACATGGGGAGCATGTGGCGTGGTGACCACGGTGCCCAGACACAGGGCTCTCGTGATGACGCTGCCGGTGTCCTCAGGAATATCGTTGGTTGTAGTGGCAGATATGGTCACGGCTACTGTGTACAACAGTGACAAAAGCAGAATAGCAGGCAGTGAAGGTCCTTCTGTGAGCGTAAAATGGGGCAAGGTAGCCTGGCTCGGGCCGGGCCTCTCACCTGGCCTGCTGATGATGTGGGCTGGCGATTCCCCACTGCTCGGGCTGTCTCGGGCATTGAAGCAGCACTTCTGACTGCCACCAATAGCGTCACCCCGCTGAAATGACCAGCGGTGACTCTGGACACCACCATTGTCCCTGGGCAGTGTCCACCACTGGCCTAGGGAGAAAAGCTGCCTGGACCGGGGGGGACCCGAGGTTCCCCTGTGTATGTCCGCTGGTACATACCTGCACCACCTCCTACCTGCCTGATGTCCACTCCGATTGCCCCTTCCCTAGACTTAACCCTCTCTCTTTGGTCCACTTGGTGGCAACAACTGTGAACCCAGCATCTGGGGCAAAGTCACTGGGCACAAGTCACAGCCTGTCTCTGGGGACACCCAGTCACCCCCTTCTGTGGCATTGGCCTTATGTGGGGCTCGATGCCGCAGACCAGATGACAGCCTACATTAGCAAGACACTGCTTGTCCCCACAGTGACAGCCCCTCTTGGCAGTGGATTATTTTTTCTGAGAACTCATCTCTTTCCTTGTGCAGGGCCTGTGACGTTTGCTACCATTACAACATTGGACAAATGAATTGGTCACCCTGGCCCTGAGGTTCCTGTGCTGGGGTGGCGCTTGTCAGGGGATTAACTGAGATTCTGTGGGCTCTTGCCCTTTTTCTCTCCTCTGACCGATAACCTTACCCTAAATCACAGAGACATTTTGTTACAGCCTCTTGGTATTTACCCCAAGAGCATTTTAAGGGCAGGGCTGCACTTTGTGCAGTGTGTCTAGACTTAAGTGTTTTGCTCTATTATCTCAATGCCCATATTTGTCTGCATTACTGTCTAATTTAAAATGTTAAATCCTCTACCAGCAGAATTCAATGGTTTGGAAATCTCTATATCATGACCAGAATAGTTTGTACCATGGTAATTTGGACTGATGCCTGCAAAGGCCTGGCTGAATGAGTGAACGTTCAAATTATTTTCCAATTAAAAAAAAGATATTTTATGAACTTTCAAAGCCAGCTAAGAACGAGGCTGGGAGAGGGTGACTTAATAAAATTCTTCAGGGAGAGCAGAAGTAAACAGATCAGAATGATTCAGAACTCTATTTTGCAAGCTCCATATTGATTACTTGTTTTATGGCCAGAGACGGTATTCGTATCTGTATCTATCATCCCTGCCCTGTTTGATGTGCTTAAGAACCACTTGCGTTGCTGAGCAGTTCCAGCAGTCTCCAGAGATCCTGTTGATGGTGTCAGTTTGCTCAGCAAAGCCGTCTTTAGAATCTTAGAAGGTAATCTTTAACCTGGCCTCTATCAGAATGACTTTAAATTCGAGTCATTCAGAGTTGATAAGGTTTACTCAGTTTGCTCAGCTTTATTTTGCTTTGCACACACAAAAGAACATTTTGCTTGCCGATATATATTTATATAGCATTCATATCATGACATCGGTTTTATATAGGCCCTCATACTATTTAATCAGAAATACCCAATTTTAATTATGTCCTCTTTTACCACTGGCAAAGAAATGATTTTAAGAGGAAATTTCAACTCATTTCCCCTACCCGCTCTCTACTCGAAAGTGCATGGCCTCACTGTCAGCAGAACAGGCTGTGTTCAGGCTTTGTCTCTGGTAAGCTATGTTAATTTCTTTGATGTTCATTTCATTGTTTTTGAGTGATGCTCAATTTTCCTCTGTCTGGGAATTGTAAATATTGATCTGGGGAAGCTTGGGGCTAAGTTTCCTCAGAGATGAACACGGAAATTGGTGTTCACATGGAGTTCTGAAGAGCCTTCAAGAACAGGTAAGAAAGAGGGCCAGAAAGAAGCAGAGACATCTCAGGACGTTTTACACCACATTACCATTGACAGGTAACGTCAGGTGTTAGGCCAGATGTCCTGCATCTCCTAAGGAAGAGGCATTGCCCAGAACGATCAGTCTCTGGTTGCTACACTGTAAAACTTAGGGCCCAGTTGGTAAGATTAGGAGAAGCACGAGAGGGCAGGAGCTCCCACAAAAATAGCAATTGCTTAGTATTAAAAGAGAGGAGCCAGGAGCATTATTCACAATGGCCGAAAGTGGAAACCACCCACAAATTGATAATAGATAAGCAGAATGTGGCATAGCCACATAACAGAATACTATTCAGCCATGAAAAGGAGTGTTTGATAAACACCACAACACCAGTGAACCTTGAAAACATTACCCAAAATGCCAGTCACAAAATACCAGGAGACCACATATCATATGACTTCACGTATATGAATTGTTCATAAGAGGCAAATAAATAAGGATTGAAAATAGATTGGTAGCTGCCAAAGGGCTGTGGGGAAGCTGAGGATCGAGAGTGACCACTAGGTGTGTGTGTGGGGACTGGGGGTGGGGGAGAACTGTTCTGAAGGAGACGCCATCACAGCCGCACAATTCTGTGAATGTTCTGGACACGGCCACATCATGCAGAGGGTGAGTGATAGGACGTAAGAATTGCATCTCAACCACATTCTCACCGGGGAAAGAGAAAAAGGAAGGGAGGGAGGGGAAACCCATGGATCAGGAGGAGACATAAAGGAAATGGGAGAGAAAACCACATTAGTGGCTTATGAACATAAAAACGAGAGACTGAGTAACACTAAATCAATATTTTGGCTGACAGAAAATCTGCTCCCACATGCTGAATGTCCACAGAGTGTCCAGCCCCGTGTTAGGCACTTTGCATTAGCGTTTAGGATCAGGTGGTTTAAGAGAAACAAGTTGTGAGTGTGGCCAGCAAGTGTGTGGTTCCCAGCTTCCCTTCACAGACTGCTGCACTGCCCAAACCCCTCTGCTGCTCTAAACTCTCAATCTGGGTGAATGTGGGTGCTCAAAAGGGTTTCAGATTTGAAGCCAGCCGGGCTGTGATTCTTGGCAAATCCTGACCTCTCAGACCCTCAGTTTCCTCATCTAAATATTAAGGAATTTGATTGGGGTTTACAAGCCCCTCTCCAGCTCTTAATACACTCTAAATCCTAGATTCGTGTCGATATTCTTTCTCCCCAGTGTCTCAGCAGAAAATGCTGCCCTGGTAGCACTTACACAATGGGAACATATTTTCTTATATAACTTTGGATGTTTCTTACATCAAGTTTCTTTGAGTTAGGCATCCTTCCAAAAAGATGTCTCTAATTCTCCTTAAGATGGTCCGTATAGTTCTGAAAATACCCTGAAACCTTCTGCGTGGACATCTGAACCATGAACATCAACCTATATTTATATAATTTGGTGACATAATCAAGAGGCCGGGTCTGGATTACCAAGACTTGACTTTGGCCTTGGGTCCAGAAGCTGCAGGCGACACAAGTTATTACCTTATCTCTTCCTTTGATTCCTGTTCACCTCACCTGTTGTTTGTTATTCAGGGGACACGACACCATGAAGCCCAGATGTCATTTGAAGAAGCTGATTGCTTGCATGCAAAACAAGGCTGTGGGCCTAGGAGTGTGGGTGCGTTTGTTTTCCTGGGCCGGGATGCCTCTGGCTGGAGCAGATGCTGACATGGGAAAGTTAAGAACCGAGGAGGCTGAGAGAGAGAAAAGAAGAGGCAGGAGTTATGTTACAGTCAGTAAAGGTTAAGGATGAATCACAAGATCAGGGTAGGAAACTAAGTAATAAAATAAGTGCATAATAGTGGGTTGCCAGGCAGACAGTGGGCTAATACGAAAGTGACAACTGAACGCAGCAAGAAGGCTGAGCGAGAGAAAGGAGTGGGCGAGATGGAAAAATAAAGAAATAACAAAAGCTAAGACAGAGGGGGAGAGCAGAGGAGTCTGTCACTTTGTCTTAGGAGAAATGAAGAAGCCAGACAAATTATAAGTGTACTTTCAATTTGGAAATATGATCAGACAGTCTGGGTCGGCGCTCAGGGAGAGCTCACGGTGGCCACGAGGTCCTGAGTGGCTCCCTCTGACCCGGCAGGCACGGGAATAGTCAGGACTTGCCAAATGTGTGTGGTGTCTGCAGGACCTGGGTGATGTCTGAGGTGTCACAGTGTCCCCTGGATCCTCCTGTTGAGAAGGGAACAGCAGATAAGACAGGGGTGTTACTGGGGACCCGGGCTGCCAGGGGCACCCTCCTTAGCTCTCTGTTTCAGGAAAGGAAACTGAGGCAAGCAGTCTGCCCCGGGTCAGGCCCTTGGTCTGACGCCCCTCCTTCCCCAGGCCTCTCCCTTTGAGGGCCGGGCAGTGGCATCTGGCCCCAGGGAGGGGAGTTTCATGGACCACCTGGAGTGGGGTGACTTGGATTTTGTTTGTCTTGTCACCCAAGGAGCAACATTTTGTTTTTTCCTTCTTCATTGGCAGCGGCTACATCAGGGCTTCTGGTCAAAATAATGTATTGCTCAAGCATACCCTGTCCCTCCAAGTGTCATGGGAACAGATTGCCCATTGGCACTGGCATAGGTTGTGTGCAAGTAACTTCAAGTTCCAGCAGTAGCTCGGCTCTGGGGCAGTGTGGACAGAGGGGTCTGGCAGGAGAGCTTCCTCTGCAGATCTGCTGTCCAGCCTGTGCCAATCATGCGATCATGTCAGCCACAATGGCTTCCGTAGGGCAAAGAGAGAGAGAGAGAGAGACTCATGGTCCTTCTGGAAAGTTCTCTCTAATTCTCAGATGTCACAATCAAACAAAAGAACCGGTTCCTTGGAATCAGTTTGAACTTCCAAGGCACATTGTGGGGCTCTGTGTTTTCGGTGTTGAGAACCCCAGACCCCTGGGCTCCGTGTGTGCCCTAAGGCCCAGGCTTAGAAAGTTTCTGATGACCCCCAAGTTTCTGGGCATTTACAGATGCCCCCAGCTTCCAGGCATTTACAAATGCCCAGCCAAACAAAAGAAGCTTCTGGAGTACTGTCCAGGCCTAGATAATGTTTCATGAGGACAAAGGAAGAGATAATTTGTTTTTAGAGAGAAATGTTATTATCTCAGTGTAAAAAAAAGGTAAGATAAATTCCCTATTATTTTATAATAACCATATCAATTTTATAATACCATACTATTATAATAACCATTTCACTGCAAGTGATGAATACGTAATTGCCTTTCTTGTATATTAGCATATTGTAATTTACCACCACAATTGTTACTTTTTTTCCCTCCTTCATTTTGGTACTTTCAATATTGAAAAACTTTTTGATATTCTCTAAAGTGGCTCATTCAGGCTTAAATTGTAGACTTTCTGCAACAAGCCTATATTTCTACCATCATCTGTCTTTTCAGATGGCAAATTACTCTGAAAGGTTTAATGAATAAATGAATAAATTAATTAATAATGACCAGAGAAGAGTCTCATTAAAGCAGCACATGTTTGGGGAACCCAGCTGGCATTTGGTGAATGGCGACTGATTATCTTGTGATAAAAGATGAACTTATGCCTCCCAATCTCTCTTCCTCCCGACTCTAAGAGTTTTTGCTGGCTCCCTTACATAAATGAGCAGGGCATGCTGGGGGGGGGGTTATTGTTTAATTTCAAAACCATAAATGAATCACCAATATTAAATAGCCCTCTTCCGAGTGCCAGGTGGGTACTGGCCGCTCGTGTGGATGGGCAGGGTCCCCTCAGTGCCTCCCACAAAGCCTCAAAGGTGCAGACACACACTGGGGCCCTCGGACGCGGGGACTGGACTCCCCCCGCCGAAGGCCGCACAGCCCTGGCCGCTGCCCATGGAGCATCGGCCCCAACCTCCCACTCCCGGGACAACATCCCCGCGCCCCTGTGGGTTTCCAGAGGCAGCCCCGAGGCAGGCAATGGCGAAAGTTCTGTCTCGGGGTGAGGACGCGGTCACGAAGTCAGATTCCGTCAAGTTGTAAAGGTGCTTTGCTTCATGCCGCCGAAAGCCCCTCATATCTTGCACTGGGTCTTCGGGTAACTTGTGACTAGTTTATGCTGGGGTCGTATCTGGCCAGATGGTTTGCTGTTTTTGGAGTTTGATTTCGAAGTGCAGGATTATTGCAGAAATAGGCTCTGGGGTTGCAGAAAAGAATTTCCCCATGCAAATAAAGGAGCCCAGAGGTGGCTGGAGGAGAGACACTGAGCAAGACCTCTGCAGCGATCTCCCCCGGCAGCAAGGGCTCTGCTGGGTTTTCTACCTGCTGTTGCTGTGATCCCGGCTCTTCACTTCTCAGAACCCTGTGTGCAACAGCCTGGGGTGGGTGGCTCTCAGAGGAAGGGGGCTGCCTCGACCAAGAAAGCCACCCTCAAACTAGAGCTCCTAGAGACCAAGTCATAGTTCCTAGTGCTGGAGAGCAGAGACTCCAGCAAGGACGTCGGCTAGAGAAACCGAAACCACCCACCCAGGCTTTGTTACTGAGGATTTAGTGTGGTCTGAAGAGAATTTTCAGGGCTGGGGACATAGTTGTGACCAACACAGATAAGGTATTTGCCTGGCATGGACTTCGTGTTCCAGTCAGGGATTCTGAGATTTAACACACAGACAATAGCAGCGAAACAAATGTGAGCAGTAATAAATGTCAGGAAGGAAACACGGAGCGGACAGTGTATTGGAGGGCACTGGGGAATGCAGAGGCTTGAATACCAGGAAGGCCCAACCATGCAAAAACTAGGTGGAAGGTACAAGTGCAAAGGTCCTGATGCAGGGACACAACTGGCTCAAGGCTGTGATTACTGGCTCACAACAGGGAGGCTGTTTTTGAGGCTCTAGGGAGAACCTGGGACTTTCCAAGGGCCGAATGTAAGGGTGGGGTCAGCAGATGAATAGGTGAAAGCGACAGAACTAAAGCGGTGAGGGCTTTTCTGGCCCTTCAGCATGCTTTGCGTGTCGCCTCAGGGTGGTTAGCCTGGTGCCTGGCCGTGTGATCTCTACTAAGAATGTGTAGGTAAGAGGCCAAGACTGCAGGCTGAGGGAGTGGGAAACCCTGCACACAGAGCCCTGTGCTGGGATGCAGGTGTCAGCAGTAGGTGACACACTCTGCGCCTTCACCGGGCTAACCCCTAGCAGGCCTTCCTTCCCCTGCAAATTCAGGTCTCATCTCCAATTTAGAGTTTTTTTTTCTCAACAACATGTCACACGAAACTTTTTTCTGACATGACAATACCTGGAACAATGAGATGCATAAAGAAGAATGAAGAACGAAGCTTTTCCAAGTATATTTTGAGCAGTGATTACCCACCACCAGAGCCTTGCAAATGTCATTTGTGGAGTGTTCTTCTGTTTGTAGAGAAGCACAAAACTTACTCTCTTTTCTTTTCCAAAGTAGTTTGGAGCATTTTAATTCTCCGGGCTGAACTATGACAAGTCACTCCAAACTTGAAGTGCTCAGAACCTGTATTTTGAAAAGCCCGAGTGGTGCCCATCAAAGCAGCAGTGAGAACACTCTATTTTCAATATGCACTGAGCACATTCACCTGTCAGTTAAATAATTTGACAACTCGCAAGAAGCTGTCTGATGAGTATCACACTCAATTGTTAAAAGTACGACAAAGAAAGTCCAAGAAGTTTTTCCCAGAGAATTTATCATCAGTAATTCAGAGGAGCTACTTGACATGGGTTTGTCTACTGCACTTTACTATTTAATTTCATTCTGTCCCCCTACTTTTTTTGCTGTCTTTCTCTCTCTGCAAATGGAGGCAGTGAAAACATCTTAACATAAATGACACCTGGGATGTTTTTCTCCTGAAAGGAAAAAACCACCAAGGCCATAAATATGTATAATTATTATACAACAATAAGAGAAAATGAAAACTTAAAAAATACTCTCAGAAATATAGGAATATTTCAAAAGGGGCCCCTAATTTAAACATTAAAATAAAATAATAAAGTTATTTTTTTAAAAAGTCTATTAAATAGCTTCACACATTCAATATGTATGCAGAAATGTCTAATCATAAAAGTTCCTGCTATGTACCACTGAGTACATGTGTTTGTAAAACATGTTTGGACCCAAAACACCAGAATGTTTTCCTGTACTAACGGGGCAGCTCGTTGAAAATATGAGGCCTCTTGTTTTGTGGCTGCTCCCACTGTTTTAAAAAGATGTCTCCATGTGCAGGGATGCTAGTTTGCCTCCTTAACTTTGATCCAGGATGCCGAATTTAGCCAAATAGAAATAAACATGAGCCCTGCGTGATGGACTAGTCCCCAGGTGACACAGGCCAGGGACATCAAGCACAGGACTCCTTGGGTCACAGCACTGCTGGTTGGGTAGGAGCAGCAGGCTTCCCAGACTAGAACCCAGGCACAGGACAGAGCTCAGAGTCCCTGTGTGCCTGCTCCTGCCCAGTAATTTTCCTGCTGTGTCTCTACTCTGTCTTCCTCTTCCTTTCCCTGGGTAGAAAATGTAGATGCCAGACTT